AAGCAGGGCTGGTGTGGCTTTCATGGGCAGGTGACCAGGGCAGAACGCAGTGTGGCCTCCCCGGGCTGGCCGGTGGCTGTCACCAAGCAGCACTGGTGTGGCTGGCAGCCAGCACGTGCAGGTGGCAGAGGTGAGGGCAGGCGTGCAGTGCCCGCCCGAGCTGGCAGCCTGCACGCAGTGAAGCACGTGTGCAGGCGTGCGTCTTCGCTGGTGGGAAGTGGGTGGGGCGGGGCAGAGAGGAGAGGTGAGGTAGCCAGGGGCACCCCTGCCCCGTCCCTGAAACCCAGGACGCAGGCACTCCGCGCCATGGGCAGCAGCCTCGCGCCGCTGCTCCCAGGGTAGGGACGGGAGGGTTGGGAGTGTCCCACCACCCTCCTGCCCCGGGCCTGTGCTCTCCCAGCGCCCGGCACCCCCGCTGCTGCTGAGCTCGCCGTGTCCTGGCAGGGGGCAAGACACAACTTGGCTTGAAGAAAAAAACACAACAGGCACTGTCCTCTGTTGCGGTCTCTCCAGGCTGAGTTAGTGGCACTTCCCAGCGCTTGGGCACAGGTCATTGTGGCCTTGGCTGACTGACAGCATCCCCTGACCACCTGCTGGGCCTGGGGCAAGAGGACGGAAGCCGAGACAGCTGCACCCGCCCGGCACCGCACGGCAGCGCCCGGGAGCCGCCTCAGGCTCCTGCAGCCGAGCCCTAAGATCCCGGATGAAAATGGTGGCCGTGCCTCCTCCTGAGGGTCGAGATCGTGGTCAGCTGTGGAAATGGACGTCTTCAAGTCTAGCAGGTGCCTTGACGGTGAGCGTGAGAGGAGTGACACACGGACCCCGGCAGGGACTCCACCCTCCAGTCCCGGACGCGCCGGAGCAGGGGCTGTCAGCGTCCTGGGGGCGGCTGGGCCTCCGCCTCTCCTGTCCCCGGGGTCCAGGCCCAGCAGGTCCTGTCCGGAGGGGCCGTGCTGGCGCTATCACCAGGTAAACACTGGAACCGCAACCTAAGGACGCACACGGCTGCCTTTCACCTACCCCGCCCCTACACGCATCCACTTTAAGTCTAACGCCCGGCACTCCCCCGTGGCTCAGCAACTCCTGTTCTGGACTGGACCCTTCTGAGAGCCAGCAGGGCCGAGCAGGCGGTGTGGGCGCCCTCTGCTGAGGTGCGCGGAGTGTGGAGGGAGGCACGCAGCGGCTCCTGCCCTGGGCTGCCGTCCTGTGTAGTCGCGGGCACAGTGGTGTCACAGCTCCCCCGACTGCTGTCACGCTCACCGTTTGCTTCCTCTGTGTGTCTGGGAGTCCCGCGTGGTAGATGACGAGATGCAGGAGTCGTGGGAGCGGGGAGGAGTCCCTCGGGGCTGGAGGGCACCCAGGTCCCCACAGGCACAGGGTGCCGTGGTGCCTGGGGCGGGCGGGACCGGGCGCAGGCTCTCGGCTGTCACTTAGTGTCTCTGCACTGAGAGCCTGAAGCGGCTGTCTGGGAGGGAAAGTCCTTAAGAGCTCGCTGCCGTATGGCACTGGTCTGGCGCTCGGTGCCAGCGTGTCCCATGCACGGTTCTGCTCTGGCGGTCCACATCCATGTCGAGGCCTGCCTGTTGTCCAGGGCAGGACAGGGTGGGAGGCTGCAGGGCTCTTCCAGGCAGTCGCCCCGGCTGCATCGAGTCCACTGGGACCCCTGGCCCTGCCCGGGCACCTGGGGGACGGCGCCCCCAGCGGTGGGCACACCTGTGCCTCTGCCGTGCAGCTGCTGGCACGTACCGGTGGTCAGCGTGGTCTGGCCCAGCAGCAGGCAGACCACGGGACGCAGACCCCAGCGCGAGGAGCCCCGGCTGCGGGCAGGGTCTTTATGTGGCTCACTTCAGGTCTGTGGCAACCGCTCCGTGTTAGAAAAGGACCGGGGAGGACGTACAAACATGCTGTGTCCCTAGGAAGTAGCCTACCGGAAATGCCCCGCCCCTCCCCGTCCCCCAGCCCGGCCGCCCGTGAGGGGCGGGGAGTGGCAAAGGGAAAACAGTAAAACTGGATTTAACTGGAACATGCTCTAATCTTTCGTTTATTTCTGGTTAAAAATATAGCAATCCAGTGCAGTGTAGTAAAGAAATCCGCTCGAAAGGGAGCAGAGAAACAGCTAAACATAAGCAAAGCAAGGCCGAGTCCGTTGAGGCGGGAGGGCTCTCCAGGGCCCCCAGGCGGGGCGCGCACACGGCCCTGACAGGGACGAGGGCCCGCGGCACCCAGGCGCGCCCCACCCCGGTCTCTCGTGTGCTGGAGGGAAGCCCTGCAGAGAAGGCAGGACACGGGGACCTGTTTCCGAGGGACTGAACGAGCTAACGCCGTACACCGGGAGGGCTTGATATGCAACAGCGTCTCGGGCCGTCCTGGGCCAGACCCTCTGTGAGCAGCAGGGGCACAATGCATATCTGTCGGGGGGGTCGAGGCAGGCACAGAACAGGACAGGTGAGAACCCGTGGAGGTCAGTAACGGGCATCGGGGACACTTCCGGCACACGGAGCACAGGGCCCACGCGCTGTCACGCCGGCCGCAGCGCAGTGGGCTCTGTGCCCGGCAGCCCCTCGGCGTCAGCGCCCAGGCGCGGCGGCGGTGCGGGGAGGGGCGGGCGGCGAGGGCGGTGGACGGTGGGGAGACGAGGGCTTTGCTTAAGACTCCGAGTGGGGAGGCGGCTCCGAGGAGGGCCGAGGGGCAGTGCCGAGGGAGAAGGCGGGCTCGCTCCCCCTTCCTGACGCAGCGGACTGAGAGTCGGACGAGGCCTGGGCTGGGACACCCTGCTGCCCGCCTCCGGCCGGGAAGAACAGAGCCAGGGACTCTCGGCCTCTCGCGCCGCTGGGGGCCGGGCCCTTCTCTCCCCACGTGGGAGGCTGGCGCGCCGGCCTCTGCCACGCCGCACGGCGCCGTGTTAGGCAAAGGCTCCTGGCTAAAATCTAACACCTCACCCAGGGAAGAAGGCAAACTGTGAGTAATCCCAGTCCTGGCCGCGGGCCGTCCCGGGCGGCGGGGGGCCGGCTCCTGGCCGCGGCGGTCTCCTCAGATGAAGAAGTTGATGAACAGGATGGCGACTCCGATGTTGAGCAAGATCACCATGGCCACGAGGACAGGCGCCGAGCCCTGCAGCGGAAGGGGCGATGAGTGGGGGCCTCCACGGCGTCCCCCACCCACTTCCCCAGGACCAAACTGGGAAGAGAGAGCAGTGACTGTGCCCACCCCCGCCGTGCAGGTGGCGCCCCGCGGGGTAGCCGGGGTCCCTGGAGCAGACTCCCCTTGCCGCATGGCTGCGGCCGGGCCTCCTGCTGGTGCCTCTCCCCCCACCATCTAGTCTGCTGGCACCCACGGCTGGGCTGTCAGGGTCCCGACTCCTCATGCTGGCTATCGCCCGGCTGTGGTGAGCCTGCAGACCACACCTGGCGGCCGACTGCCCCAGCCGTGAGGCTGCTCTGGCTGGACCTCGGGAACAGGACGGTGACGCCGCAGCACCAGGTGTGGTGCGTCCACCACAGCCCTGCCCAGGACACAGTCCCGTCCTGCTGTCCCCACAGCTGCCCTGGTTGGCCACAGGCTGACCGGGAAAGCAGCCGCTGTGTGGACTGTCCCCCAGCCCATCATCACAGACTGGTTTTGGGGAGGCTCCTTTACACCCCAAGTCTGGCCCCTCTGCAGGTTCAGAACATGACGGGGGCCCAGGAGCCCCCAGGGTGTGAGGCCTGGACCCACTCTGCAGGAAGGGGCGGGTCCTTGGCTCCCGGGAGCTCCCGGTGGCTGCAGTCTTCCAGGGAGGCAGCTCCCTAGGACAGGAGTCGCCCTGTCATCCTGCACCCCACCCGGCGCCCGCAGAGCCGGGCCCAAGCACTCAGGCGGGGGATGCTGGACCCCACAGCGGCGCTCCTGCCACACAACGCTCAGGGACTGTTGCTGCTGATGACCCGTCCAGAGCAGGCCGACCCAGAGGCCAAAGTGGTCAGGGCAGCTGGGGGAGGGGAACCTGTGGGAGGGGGGTTCCCAGAATAAAGGAGCAGCAGAGCTTGCGGACCGGCACTCAGACTGGTGCATTGTGGGTCTGCGCGTTACCTCCCCTAACCCAGCAGGTGCTCCGAGAAAGACGGGGCCTGCTGGGCTTCGGTGGGCCCCGGCGAGCCCTGAGCAAGCAGGCCCGTGCCCGCCTCCCGCTCACGTCCCCAGAGAGCCTGGGGGTGCTGGGATCCCGTCCCGCGCTGTCCTCCACCCTGCCCTGTCCACGGGCGTTTTCAGCGTGGCACTGATGAGTGCCGTGGCACCGTCACAGCATCTCAGGCGTGAACCAAACGGTCCCGTGAGCACGGCCTGCGGTGCGGGATGGGGCTTGGAGACAGGTCTGAGCTCATGCAACCTGCAGGACTCTGCCCAGGCTGCCTGGCTCCTGCCCTCACACCTCAGTCTGACCACCACACGCCCCCTCCGGCTTGCAGCCTGGGCCACTCCATCGGCTGTCGGCCCAGCCTCACCTGAGAGACTCGAGGGAGAACAAGGCTTGCTCAGCAACAAGTCCGACTAGAGACGGCCGGGGCCTGCTCGCAGGGGAGGACACCTCGGCGGCCACGTCCTACCCAGGCCCTGGGCACTGCGCTGCAGCTGCCCTGAGCCCATCCAGCTGGGGTCGAGGACCAGGGAGGGACGTGGGCACCAAGGTGTGCCCCTGCCGATGGTGCTGTGGCGACTGGACAGAGCCCTGTGCCGCGGTTCCACTCGGCTGCAGCCCAACCCTGTCCTCCCCAGGGGCAGCCAGCACAGCCCAGCTGCTGCCCGTGACCAGCCGGCCACAAGCACCAGTCCCTGGCTGCCCGCCGGCACTGCCCACCTGGCCGGGGTCTCCTAGCAGCCTCCAGCACTACCTGCACACCCGCTAGGCCGTGACCCGCCACTGGATACCTCCACACGCACACTGTCTACACGGCACTACACACTCGCCCCACATACGCCACACCCAGGGCGTCCAGGACCCCGTGAGAGCCTCAGTCCTGCACCCCGAGCGTGCCGTGGGACCACCAGTGCCTGCAGCAGGCTGCACGGTGGCCCAGGAAGCCCCCTGAGCCTCGGCGCCCCTCCCACCACGGACACAGCAGCCCCTTCCCCTCCCGCAGCCCAGCGTCTGGGACAGCACCGGAGGCCACTGGCTCTTGTACCCCATCTCCCCTCGGGCCCAACAGGTGGGACGAGACCCTGCCCCGGCCTCACCCTGAAAGCTCACGCGACACTCAGAATCGTAGTCTGAACAACAAGAAAAGAAAACCAAAAACCGCACCCCAGCATGGCATCCTGGCCCTAGGCTGGGGCTGGCCACTCAGAGCCTGGCTGGCTTCCCTGGGGTCGGAGGAGGGTCTCCATCAGCAGCCCCAGCTAGAGCGCTTCCTGGGACCCCCACCCGGTCTGGAGCTTGTCCCCGCGCTCACACACCAGTCACCAGCACGGCTCAGCTAAATATAGAACCTGCACGCCTGCCCATCACCCCGTGCACCTGAAATAGCCCCACACGCCGTGCCGCGTCCACACAGCCGCCCACGACCGTGGCGGGCAAAACAAAGCTGTACAAGCAAGCCGGCCTCAGGGCTGATCTCGGGCTGCAGGTCACCGTGGCCTCAGGCAGGAGCTGGGCCCCTGCTGGGCGGGCCAGGGGAAACCGCTGCTCCCTTAGGCCACAGGTAGGACCCACATCGGCCCAATGGGCGCCTGCCACAGGGTGACACCGCTAGACGGTGAGGGGCCCTGCCCGAGCACAAGCCCTCGTCCTCGGCCATCCCCCTGCAGAGCAGGGATGCTCCCTGGGCGGTCAGCACCTGCTGACCAGGAGCAGCTGGTGGGCTCCCATGATGCCGTTCTCCCTTAGGGGGCGCCCGAAGCCCTGTGCCTGCCCCCCCCCCCCCCAGCAGGGGCACGCGGCAGCCTCAGGGAACGCGCAGAAAGCCCAGGGCCCAGGGCCGCCCGCTCACCGCGCTGGACTTGAGCTCGTCCCCGTTCTCCTCGTCGGACTCCAGCGCCACAGGCAGGGACTTCTGGGGCGGCGAGAAGGTCAGGTCCCAGCGCAGCAGCCGGGGCTCGGCCCGGGCGCCCAGCCGCAGGCTCTCCAGTTTCTGCACCGTGGGCTCCGCGGCGGAGGCCGGCCTCAGGCTCTCTTTGTTCTGGGGCTTGGGCCGCAGCCTCTGCACCCCGAAGCCCCGGTCGTCGGGCGGGGCTCCCCGGCGGCGCCCCGGCCGCAGCGTCGTCTCTGGGGCGGGGCCTGCATCCTCAGCAGCGGCCTCATCTCCAGCTTGTAGTGCTCAGCCGCTCCTCGTCCCGCTCCAGCAGCTTGCCGCCCCCCGCGCTGTGGGGCGTCCACGAGAACGTGGGGGGGGACTCCGTCCCGCCGCTCCCGGGGCTTGGGGTTCCCGGGCTGCCTGTGGCCCGAGCCCCGGGCGCGCAGGTCCTCGGCGGGCTGGCTGCTGCGGAGGGCGCCGCCGCGCACGCCCCGGGGGCCCCCGGCCTTCTCCTCGCCCCAGCCGCCGCGGGCGTAGTCCCCTCCCCGGCCCTCCAGGAGCACCTGGATGTCCCGCCTCGCTCCTCGTCCACCGACACCTGCCGGGAGAAGTGGGCCACCTTGTTCCTGGAGGCGGGGGCCGGGGGCGGGGTGGCCGCGGGGCTGGCGGGGAAGCTCTGCAGGGGGCTGTCGTCCGGGGTCAGGTCGGAAGGGGTGGTGCCCTTGCGGTACAGCCCGGGGCTCTCCTGCTGCAGGGGCGCCCCGGCCGACAGCACCTCGATGTCCTCCTCGCAGGAGAGCTGATGCTTGGGTCGCTGGCACTCCAGCCCTTGGTGAGGGAAGAAGCAGAGCGCGGTTACCCGGGGCGCCAGGCTGGGCCTCGTTCCCGCGCAGCAGAGGCCGTGGCACGGCCCCCGCCCATGGGCGCCTGGAGGATGGAGAGCAGCGGGCGGCAGCTCCCAGCCCGGGCCCTTGGGCTGCAGGGGCGGATGGGAGTCTTAGGACGCTGGCCTGGCCTGGCCTGGCTGGGTGGCCCCGCGTGCACCCCAGCCCTGACCAGCAGGGCCCTCCTGGGTTGACGAAGCGTCCCCCGACTGGGGAGGCCAAGCCGCATCGCAGAGGGGTCACCCCGTCTGCCCACCGGGACCCAGAGGCAGCCCAGCCGTGCCTCTTCCTGGGGCCGTGGCTCCCCGCTTGGCAGGGTCAGGGGGCTCCTGGGGGGTGGGAGCAGCAGTCAGCGCCCTGAGGACCCCCAAGGCCTGGATGGCAGGGCCCAGCTGCTGCGACTCCCCTGCAGCTCCCCGAGCCTGGGCAAGAGGGGCGCACCCCCACCCCCGAAGGGCAGGTTCCATGTCCACTGACCAGCGGGCCCAGGCTGGACGCAGTGGGAGGACACGAGAACGCGGCCTTTCTCATCCCTACACCTTTGTCTCCAAGTGCACCCCCAGGCTCAGCCGGGGGACGCCCCCCACCCTGCCCGGGCTGCAATGCTCAGAGGGCCCCGGCCCCGGCCACCAGGCACCTGGCTGCTCTGCCGGGTTGCACCGAGCCTCTGCCTGCGGCAGGAGAGGCGGCATCAGGGACATGGCTGCCCTCCAGCCGGCTGGGCCAGCGGTTATAAAGTGACAGCCATGTCCACACAGCTCAGCCGCCCGGTGCCGTCTCTAGGGGTTTAGATGTGCAGCAGCGAGCGGGGCTGGGCTGCAGCCATGGTGCCGGGCTCGGGCAGGCGGGCAGGTCCCTGCAAGCGCGCCACCGCATGTGGCCAGGCGACGTGGGGAGAGGTCTCATTCCAGGGCAGGGGTGCACGCTAGGCTGTCACGCACTGCTGCAGAGGGAACAGGCCAGGCAGGGTCCCGGCGGAGCTGTGCTGAGACCAGGCACCCCTGAGCCCCGTCACCTCTGCACCCTCGGCTGGGCCTGCGCTCCCCAGGGCCGGCACTCCTGCCCTTGACCAGGGGCTGGGCCAGCCAGGACTCGACCCTCGAGGTGGCCCCGTGGCCTTTCCCATGAGGCTGGCCCAGCAGCCCCCCACCCAGGAGGGAAGCTGGCACCCCGTCAGCACCACCACAGCAGGAGGTGGCTGTCAGCTAAAATTAGCCCCCAGAGCACGCAGGGCTCCCGGAAGCACCCGTGCCAGCGTGTGAGGCGGCTCCGTTCCAGCGCCCGCTCTGGCCCAAGTCCTGGACCACAGCTGCTCAGCCCAGCCTCGCGAGCTCCGGGGGGCGGGTGGACGCTGGGTTCTGCCTCCCCTGCCCCGAGCCAATGACCGCAGGCAACATCGGTGTCCCAGAGGCCACCACGGGTCCTGCCCGGACACTGGAGGCGACCAGCCCCTCCCAGCTGCAACTCCTTCGCAGCAGGGGTAGCACAGGCTCGGGGCTCGGCCTCATTTTAAATCAACTCCACCTCGTGGTGTCCAAGGCCTTGGGCAAGCCCTGCCCCCTGCTTTGGTATCTGCCCACGAGGCCCGGCCACGATGGGAACACCCATGTCCCCCTCGCCCACACAGCCGTTGTCTGCACACTCCCGGCGCCTCTAACACACTGCAGGTGCAAACAGGAAGTGCCCTGATGTTGGGAGACAAATCCCAGAGCAAGCCCAACACCAGGGCCCACGCCGCACGACTGCACGTCCCTGGGGGAGCACACAGGAGCCGGGTGCTGCGGCCAGGGGGTGCAGCCCATGCACTCACTAAGCCCACAAGGTCTGGGCACTGCAGCCCCACCTCTGCCACGGGGTCCAGAGTCCAGAAGCGGCTCCGCAGGAGGCCTTGGCCAGGGAACTGGAGCCCTGGCCTGGGCGGCGTCTGACCGCAGGGTCTTGGCTCTCGGTCCGCCAGGGCCGGAGTGTCCTGGGGCCGCTGCTCCACCCGCACTGGGCCCCTTCAGTCCTTCTCACCGGCTCGGGGGACCGGGCGCCAGCAGGGCCGGTGCCTTCCGGGGCGTTTGAGCCTCTCCCCGGGTCTCGTCCCAGCGTCGGCGCCTCCTCTCCCGTCTCAGGGCTGTCCTTGGACCTGGGGTTCCCCTGGCCCAGGACGAGCTCGTCTGTGTGGACTGTGTTCCCAGACCAGGCCATGCTCGGAGGCCCCGTGGTCGCCTCTTGGGGCCACCGTTCAGCACGCAGGGGAGTGGAGGGCAGGACCATGGCCAGCGCCCTCCCTTCTGCTAGAGACCCGGAGCACAGAGGCTCTGAGCAGGCAGTGGGCGCCGTCCGTGGCTGCCTGAGTGACCCCCACCCACTGCGTGTGGCCGGCCTGGTGGGAGGCACCCGGCACCACGCTGGCTCCTTCCCTGGTCCCCCCGTGGCACACGGCCATCTGCAGCAGGTGCAGGAGTCGGCAGACAGTGGGCAGGGCGCCCCTGCCTCCTTGTGCCCGCGGCACAGTGCATCTGGCCTGCCGGTTCCCAGGAGACAGGCGAGGTCTCCGGGGAGGAGGAGACGCCGGCCCCAGTGCCCAGCAGCTTGGACACCTCAGCCTGCTGTGGCCTGAGAAGGGTGACACGAGAGGACAAGGACGCTGGGAAGTGCACAGCTGACCCTGGCCCGACAGCCAAGGCCTCTCCAGCGTGCCCACAGTCTCACAGAGCCCACCCTGCCCACACCCGGGGGGCAGCAGGCTCCCCAAACAGCGCCCTCAGCCAGCGAAGGTGAGATCTGGAGCCAGGAACTACAGCCGCCGTCCGAGCCTGTGCCAGAAACAGAGGGCAGCGGGCAGTCGGCCACTCCCCCCTCCCCCAGGCTTGGCTCCTGGCCCGCCTCCCCGAGGCCGGGGCTGCGGGCCTGGGTGTGCTCGGGCTGTGACATCACTACAGGCGGCAGGTGCCAACCCCGGGGCCTCGGCACGCTTACCTGGCACCGCCACTGCCTGGGAGTGCAGGTGAGGGGGGCGGAGGCAGGGAGAGACTGGGGAGGCGGGGCGGGCTGTGCTGCCGCCCCCAGGGTCAAGCGGTCGGCTCGTGGGCCCTGGCGCCCAGCAGGAAGCACACGGCACTCGTGAGCCTCGTTCCCCGCCCGGTGTTCCAGGTCCTTCCAGACCCACGGCACAAGGGCTGTGTCACCGTGCAGCCACTGCCCACGTGTCCACTTCACGTTTGCACACGGGCTGGGGCGGAGGAAATGGAAGGGCAGACTCCACTCCTCAGTCCACACAGGCTCCGGCTGCCGCGGAAATCCATCGTCTCCAGGGAAACACGCAGCACTGTCATAGAACACTCCAGAACAGCCCTGGGGACTGTCACAGAGCATTCTAGAACACCGGGGAAGCGTGCAGGCTGTGCACTGTCACAGAACATTCTAGAACACCAGGGAAAGGTGGCGGGAGATGCACACGTGCCCAGCAAGTGCGTGTTCACGTTGGTGACAGCAGGAAAGCCACACACAGACACTCCTGTGCACGCAGGGACACGCAGCCACACACAGGCCAACATGCGTGTCGGAAGGAGATGCATGTAGAGGGCCCCACACAGTCACCCCCCTTCCTGGGGCAGAGTCCCGCTGTCTGCACCCAGCCAGCCATGGCGGACAGGCCTGAGCCCAGGGCCTGGCGTGGACAGGTCTGAGCCCAGGGCCCGGCGTGGACAGGTCTGAGCCCAGGTCAGGGTGCAGGGCCCAGTGTGGACAGGCCTGAGCCCAGGGCCCGGCGTGGACAGGCTTGAGCCCAGGTCAGGGCGCAGGGCCCGGCGTGGACAGGTCTGAGCCCAGGTCAGGGCGCAGGGCCCTGCGTGGACAGGTCTGAGCCCAGGTCAGAGCCCAGGGCCCGGCGTGGACAGGTCTGAGCCCAGGTCAGGGCGCAGGGCCCGGCGTGGACAGGTCTGAGCCCAGGTCAGAGCGCAGGGCCCGGCATGGACAGGTCTGAGCCCAGGTCAGGGCACAGGGCCCAGTGTGGACAGGTCTGAGCCCAGGTCAGGGCGCAGGGCCCGGCGTGGACAGGTCTGAGCCCAGGTCAGGGCGCAGGGCCCAGCGTGGACAGGTCTGGCCCAGGACCCACCTCCCCCCCGCCCCGCCCCGCCCCGGGGACCCCAGACTCACCGTTCTCCCGGTGCTGGAAGGAGGGGGAGAACTCTTTGGCAGTGATCCTGGCGATCCGTGCTTCCTCCTGGGCCTTCTGAGCCGCTGTGAGGGCCGCCTCGGCCTTGGCCCGGGAGTGGGAGGTCCTGGGGGGAGGGGCAGTGGTGAGGGCAGCAGGAAGCCACGGGCTGGGGTCTGAGAGCAGCCTGGGGGAGGGCTGGGCTGAGGACCGGAGGCAGGCGCCCGCGCGTGTCCCGCCCCCTGCCTCTTCTCGTTCCGTGCTTCCAGCAAACGGCACCTGCCCGTGTGGACCATGTCTGTTCTCGAGCCGACAGCCCACACGCGTGCTCCGGGAGCCCAGACCACGCTGTGTGAGCGCCCCGGCCCCGGGGCAGGGCCAGCGGGCTGTCCCCTGCTGGGCGAGCCGGGAGGGGACGCACTGCCTTCCTGCTTCTCCTGTGCCGTCCCCAGCAGGTGGCGGAGGTGGGGGCAGGGCTGCCACGCTGGCTCCACGCGGCCCGTGCAGGGGCCGTGGGCACCGCTGTCCCGACGCCGGGAAAGCTGAGGCAGAGTGCCTACCCTGGCAAAGTCTGCTTGGCTACTGCAGCAAAACACCACGGCCGGTGGCTACGGGCAGTGGGACTGGAGCTGGCGGGCTGGGGCCAGGGCACCAGCGGCAGGTCTGGGGACGCACTCTGGTCATGGCTCCTGGCTGCATCCCCCCGACCATCTCACAGCTCAAGCACCCCCCAAAGGCCCCGGCACGCGGGAGTCTCAGCCGTGAACCCCGGGGACACACGACCAGGCCGCCCGGCCCTCCGTCTCCCGCAGGGGCAGTTACTTGAGGCCGCGAGTTAGAGTGAGACCCCCAAGCTGCTCGGGAGTCTCCTGTATTTAAATCCCACGGTGCTCACTTTTACCTGGAAAACTAAACCCTTGCCCCCCCACACACACACACTCACACACACACACACACACACACACAGTCCCGTTAACCACAGCCTGAACGCCTGTCCCAGGATGCCCCTGCAGTTCCCAGGTTCCCCACCAGGTGTCGCCACACACACCTCCTGCTCCAGGCCCCTGGTGCGCGCTGATCCCGAGAAAATTCTGCCCTTCACACAACTTCCTGAAAACTGGAAAAAGAGCTGCCACCAGCACGGCTGCGGCCCCGCCCCACGCCGTGTAAAACGGAACATTCCTTCTGGAAGATTCCTCGGAGCCTGGTGGCCACAGTCACAGCAGAGGCAGCGTGTGGGGGCCTAACCCATGAGCACAGCGGCGACCAGCACCAGACTCCGCGCGCCGCAGGCCCCGCCCACAAGCCCCCAGGCAGCCGGCGCCTCCCGGCCTGCAGCTCCCCCGGGACGCCCCCCCTCCCCCCCCCGTGGTGGTCGGTCAGAGAGGTGGCGTGAGCTCCTCCCGGAGGAGGGGAGCCGCGGTCTGACCACCCGGGGCGCAGCTGGCGGTGGTGGGGACAGAGCAGGGCCCGGCAGGGCAGGGCAGGGGCTGCCTGGGTGCCTGCGTGAGCCCAGGGCAGGGGCGCCCCGGGCCGGCACACCAGCAGGGGACCGCAGGGGCTGTCCCCCCCCCCATGCAGGCACCCGGGAGGCCGCCTGCCCCAGCACAGACCCCGCCAAGCTGTCTCGGGTCCCCTGGGGAGGGGCTTGGGTGCCCCGGGCATCTTCCAAACGCCCCCAGCCCCACACTGGGCTCTGAACACAGGTGGCGCCCAGGTGCGGGGTGCACAGTGCCTGCCTCACGGCACCGTGGTCAGTACCAGCATGGACCCAGAACTCGGCCCACGTCCCCCCCAGTCCACCGTGAAGCACATGCGTGTCCTAGGGCACGTGGTGAACACGCATGTCCCTTCCAGCTCCCTCCTGTCCGTGTGGACACATGTAAGACGGCCTGGCCCAGGACGGACAGAGTGTTTGCAACACAGGCCCCCGAGTTTGCCCCGAGCCCTCTGCCTGGCCACTTCTGGGCAGGGAGGGTGGGGGCCGCGGCGATGGGTTCCCTGAGGAGGGGCTGCTGGGCGGGGCTCAGCCGGTCAGCCTGAGCTAAGCGGCCACGGTTCCCGCTGGACAGCACGTGCCGGGCCCACCTTCATGGCCACAGTGACGGACAAAGCCACCTGACCAGGCCTGGGTCTCGCCGTCTCAGAGCCCGGGCTGGGGCGTGGCCAGGGGTCCCACCCGCGAGCTTGTGGACGGCCCCCCAGCCTGACGCTGAACCCGCACCCTGGAGACACCTGTGTGGACCTGACCCCGTGTCGGGCGACTTCTCACGAGTGTTGGACCTGGACCAGAGCAGCAGGCGCGAGCACACACGGGCCTGCCGGGCGCCCACGCCCCTGCTCAGTACAGCACCGCCGCGCCGCGTTCACTCCCGCTGGCGCGCGTGCGTTTGCGTGTGGATGTTCACGCACGTATAAAAGTGGCACGCGCGCGTTTGCGTGTGGATGTTCACGCACGCATGAAAGTGGCACGCGCGCGTTTGCGTGTGGATGTTCACGCACGTATAAAATGGCACGCGCACCAGCCCTGAAATAAGATAAACCCCGACGAGTGCTTGCAGCGGAACAGGAGCCGCCCAGCACGTGACAGGGAGTTCTCCAGGCTGAGGCTGAGGCCCTCCACAGGGTCCTCGCGGCTCTGCCTCACCCCTGCGGAGGGTCTGGCCTCCGTGATGGGCGGGTGGCACCTGCACACAGCCGGGCGCCCGCTGGCCGGCTTCCATGGCGGGCTCAGCAACCCAGGGAGGAGAGGCGGCCACTGCCGTGCAGGGGCCGGGGCTGGGGGGAGGAAGGGAGTCCAAGGCCAGGTACGACCCACTGTCCAGGGGCTACTTGCATCAGCGGGCGGCCGGGGTCCCCGCAGAGGGCCATGGAGAAGGTTCCAGACAGCAGGTCGAGGGGCTGGTGGGATGCACTTAGCTTATGCAATCTGAATCGGCCATGCACAGGTCACTGCGGTCTGAGAATAGCCCCCACCCTGCCCCCAGACCCGGAGATCCTGGGTCCCCAGAAGGCCCCACACCCCGACAACTCTGCTCAGGAGTGGGTTCTCTGGCCCCTTCCCCGAGGGGTCTGTGAGTCGTATTCCGGGCACCCAGCGTGCCAGAGAGGAGGCACCAGCCACACTACACGGCCGCAAACACACGGCGAGAGAGACAGCCGCGGCGGGAGCCCGGGAAACCCCAGGCCAAGAGCCCCGAGATGGCCCGGGCGGGCGGCTGGGCCGGCATCACCACGCCAGCACGGCAGAGCCAGCCACCCAACCCAGGCATGAGCCGGACCCCCTGCAAGGTGCTGCGCCCAGGTGGCCGGGCCCATCCCCACCAGGGTTTTGATGGGCAGGTCTGGGCGGGACCGAGCGCCCGCATCTCACAGGGTCCGGGGAGGGGGAGGGGGCGGGTGTTGGGTCGGAAGCTGCACAGGTGAAGGGGAGGACGTTTCCCCAGAACCTGCAGGAGGCGCCGGCCGCGTCCGCACCTCGTTCCACCCTGGTGAGACCCATGCGAGGACGCCGACCCCAGAACCAGGCTGGCTGCCCTGAGCCGCCGACTGTGGCGCTGTGTGCTGGCTGTCCTGAGCGCTGCCCTCAGGTGGGCACAGGCAGCTGGGTGGCTGGGGGTGGGGTTACAGGGGGAGCACAAACTCCCACCCAGGCCACACTGAGTCCCTGCCCAGACACGCCCTGGGCAGCCCCCAGCCCCGCCCACCCCACAGACACGCCCTGGGCAGCCCCAGCCCCGCCCACCCCACAGACACGCCCTGGGCAGCCCCCAGCCCCGCCCACCCCACAGACACGCCCTGGGCAGCCCCCAGCCCCGCCCACCCCACAGACACGCCCTGGGCAGCCCCCAGCCCCGCCCACCCCACAGACACGCCCTGGGCAGCCCCCAGCCCCGCCCACCCCACAGACACTCCCTGGGCAGCCCCCAGCCCCGCCCACCCCACAGACACGCCCTGGGCAGCCCCAGCCCCGCCCACCCCACAGACACGCCCTGGGCAGCCCCCAGCCCCGCCCACCCCACAGACACGCCCTGGGCAGCCCCAGCCACGCCCACCCCACAGGACTGTACTTCAGTGGTGGAGACCCTGGCCGGCTCCCCCGTCCTCCTCTGCCCATTGCGGGGCTGGGCCCTGCTGACTGGAGTCCTCGGAGGAGCCGCAGGGAGGCCCACGGGACGCAGCCGCCACGGGGCAGAGGCCGAGGGGCCAGGGCCTCCTGTGGGCGACACGCCCAGGGCCTGCTCTGCAGGACGAGCCGGTCGCCAGGAGCTTGGCAGCCTCGGCTCCGCCTGTACCCCCCCCCCCCACCGTCCGTGCTCACAGGGGGGCAGCCTCAGGGGGTGCACTTGTTGGGGGGTCCCGTCCTCCATGGCGGCGCGGTGCACCCCCACTTCCTGTCCCGCCTCTGACTGCAGTACAGGGACCACCCCCACCTCAGGACGGGCGCTGACTCGGCACACAGGCGGATCACCTACAGCATGGCCCCTCCCCACCTCAGGGCTGCTTCTGGCTCTCTTCGCTCCCCGAATCCACACCCCCCTCCCCCAGTCTCACGGTGCCCGGGTCACCCGTCTCCTCCCAGGGCTCAGGCCCAGCCCCGGAGCCCTCGAGATGCCGCCACAGACCCCCTCCGGCTCCGGCGTCCCCGGGCTCCCCTGGCAGAGGGCCCTGGACTCGGAGGGGAGCAACGGCAGGGGGACTCCCCGAGCGAGCGCAGGGCCCTCCCCTCCCCGGCCCGGCCCGGCAGCCTCAGGGCACTGCCTGCAGAGGACGAGGACGGAGAGGAGCCCGGGGCCTGCCCCAGGACAGGGACCGAATCAGACGTCCTGGGCTCTGCTGGGCGCCCAGAAACCAGCGTCTGCTGCTCTCTTCTGGGCGGGGGTGGGGTGGGGTGTGTGTGGTGTGTGTGTGTGTGTGTGTGATGTGTGCATGATGTGTGTGTGTGGTGTACATGTGCATGGTATGTGTGTGTCGTGTGTGTATGTGTGTGTGGTGAGTGTGTCATGTGTATATATGTGCATGTGTGTGGTGTATCTGTGTGGTGTGTTATGTGTGTATATATGTGTGGTGTGTATGTGCGTGTGATGTGTGTGGTGTGTGATGTGTGCATGATGTGTGTGTGTGGTGTACATGTGCATGGTATGTGTGTGTCGTGTGTGTATATGTGTGTGGTGAGTGTGTGTGGTGTATGTGTGTATATATG